CAGAGAGCTGACCTCGGTGTTTGCTCTGAAAAGACTGAAGTATCAATGGCCACCGGAGAAGTATGCAAACAGTGGGCAAACAGTTAACATGCCATGCAAGCGGGATGGAGGCGCTTTCAATGACCCTGCAGCTACCTGTCGCGGCTTGGTCCGCTGTGTTGTCACATTGCACATAGGTGGAAAAGGTTATCGACAAAAACCAACTCGAGCTCCGGACGGATGAACTGAACATACGGTGCAATGCCGATACCCAAACCTGCAAGCAACTTTCAAGCTCACTGGAGTCTTATCTATAGCTCAAGGTGTCAGCTCCACAAACACATATCACATCCGACCCCTGAGCACGATGCCGTGCACCAGCACAACCTCAAGTTTGCTGAGACGGACGTGCTCACCAACATCGTTGTGCAAAGGCATCTTGCACCATGCAACCATCGGCTCCAAAAACAACATTTCATATTTCTTGCGTTCACTGGGACAGTTTTCTACCAGGCCGCACTCCCAAGAACAAGCTATGCGTGGTCCGGCACTTGTCGCCAAAGCACCGGCAAGTCGCGGCTCGGCTCCACCACCTTTCCGTCTTCCAGGAGTTGCCTAGGAAGGCAGTGACCCGACCCGAGCTTCAGTAAAAACCAGTCAACATCTCTCTTCGGAGAATGGGAGACACCAATCTCGGGCACCTTATGAATAGTACCATGTACTACCACGATAGCTCGTCAAGGTACCCAGGACGAGCTGGCGGAGGGCAATGGAAGTAAGAAAGACCTCCTGAGCCACACACAGTCATTTACAAATGAATGGCAATCAAGTGATAAGCTAACGAAGCGCACTCGAAGCGCATTGGGGGGGCCTGATGCTTCACCACCATGGTAGGCAAAGCCCATCCTGAGTGTTTTGGTGTTATAGATGCTATGGATGCTGGACAAACAACCTAGGATCTCGTCACGTGCACAATAAGGAGTCTTCCCAGCGTGATGCGACGGCACCCAATCCATTCATAAGTGCGTTGATCTGCTTATCAGCTCAGGGTCGTTTGCGGACGCCCGCGAGGCACATATCATAATATCACTCATGTGGTACGAGATACAACGACATGCCTGCACATGGCCGTATACATACCTCGCCTTATGCCATTGCAAGGAGAAGCTCATGCCCGCTGAGTTAGCATGCCTGCGGTCACATGAGTTTGCAGGTGGCTTTGTCGGGCATTGCATCAACGCCATGTTCAAAATTCCTTTCAACCTGAGATGTGCTTTCGAGTGGCAGTTGCATGGTGGAGCGAGTAGCTAGTCGAAGCCCGAGAATACCAGCCTCAAATCGTCGATGCTTGCATGTCTGTCCGGGCTCGCATAGGCAACAAGCATTCTGAGATCAAGCTGAGTCATATTGCAAAGTGCCCTATCTCCAACTGTTAGGCATGACGGTGTGCGCAAGCTTGCTAGATTGCATACCAAGCGGCGTAGTACCACAACGGATGATACCAGGCCTGCACAGCCGCGCAGCGGCCATCACGACATCCGAGTGAGCCGAAATTACCCAAACTCAACAGATCTCAACAGCACCGATGCCGCAATGCTTCTCCTGTGGCCTTTTTTGTCTGGAAGCTACTGTACTAACTTTACGTACTTACGAGTACCCTGAGAAGCCTGGATCGGATCGAAATTGATGCGCATCGGCCGAACGCCTGTAGAGTAGCCTCGCACGAAGCTGAGACTGCTGACAGCGGAGCCACTCTGTCGAAACTGCCACTTCTTGTTCTTGCCACAGAAATGTGCCTCCTGCTAATTCCCATCCGTAACGACGCTCGCACTCCTCGCGGTGGCGGAAACAAGCTTACATAGTCACTCGTGCTTCGTATTAAAAAAAAACATCCAAGTGGAGCATGCATTCCAAAGGCTTTTGGAGATGGGTCGGGGCAAATTACGGAGTTCCGACTACGCTGGACGACAAGTGGAAGCCCCGAACCAATCGCAGCTGTCACGCCCGTAACCAATGGACGGCTGTCATGCACTGCCTGGGAAACATGGACAGGGGAACAAGGAGACGAGCTGCTGCTGTATTATTGCTGCTGTCAGGAGCAGCTTCGCAGGAGGGCCCTCGGAGAAATCATGCGATCAGCACCGCAAGAAACCAGATCCGAGACACCACTGGACCACCGGTTGTTGCAATTTGCGTACATAGCAAAAGCGAGGAGCAGAGGAATTAGCTGGCTGGAGTTCGGTTCGACTCGGTTGTTGCGGCTGAACGTTCTGGATCGACGGTCGTGAGCCCTTCGCGGACGCGAGGCGTGCCTGGCCTTGCCGGAGTCCGACAGTGCTAAGGTGCTTCTGCCCAAGCTTACAAGAGTGTTTGATTCAGGGTGTGTCAGACTTTGATGAGCTCAGGGAGACCTATTCTCAACGTATTTGCGCACAAGGGGCTTCTGCAGATTGGAACGGACTGCTTTCCAGCAGCACCGCCTCTCACAATAACAAACACGAGCACACAACTTCGACTTGTCAAAAGTCCTGCAGCATCGCTTTCATCTCGCTCATTTCCTCTTCCTTCAGCTCTGAAGGATATTTGTTGAAGAATGCCCAGGCGAAGAACCTGTTGGCAGTGACCATGCCGAACCCTAAGTACACCCTTTGCCAGTCGGTATCACCCACAGATACAGTTTGTTCTGATGCTATTCTTACTATGTGCAACAGCCCAGGCAGCCCAGCAACTCTTCGGCATTGCCGCGCTTGATTCGCGAAATCGGAGTCTTCATGAACCAGCCCTCCAACCACTCCTCTCAGGAGCTCGGGGACTGCACTAGACGTCGCACCCGACAGCATGCAGCGAATCACATCACACCGTTGAGCAGCAATGACAATGAACTCATCCAGTCAAGCATGTTTCCCCCGATAGAAGTAGCATCCGGCAGTCCGTTGGAGTTCGTCCAATCGGCCATGTGGCGCATTGGTCGATGCGTGCAAGTGTGCGCTGGAAAACATCCTCAGCATTGCAAAGCTTGGACTTCGTTAATTGGATGAAAGATACAGTCATGTCCAGCTTTAGAAAGAGCCGAATCAGCCAGCGCCCGCTCCCGCTCCTGCTGCTGCCACTTCTAATTACTGCTACTACTACTACGACGACGACTACGGTTGAAATAATTACATGCACCATGGTGTACAATGATGCAAAACATGGGTGCCAAGAAGCATGCGGCTGGACAGGCAGCAGCCTCTGACTCATTGGCCTCACCAAATTGAGGCGAGAGCGCAGTCTGCGCAGCCATAGGAAAAATGATGCCTCTGCCAGGACCTGAAGCAGGAACGAGCAGTTGTTCTCATCACGCTGTCACATGGGGTCCATACCGTGATAAGCCATGATACGCCATGACAACATGCCTTCAATTCAAGCCTGACTCAGGAGTCCCAAGTGAGAAGTCTCAAGACCTCCAGTCATGACTGCTTGTCTAGAAAGGTAGCATGGCCAGCCGATCATGCGCATGACCCCCAAACCGAGCTGATCGAACTCTGAAGGTGTAGTAATTAAAGGATTTACACTGTCTTGTGTTGCTTTTTCCCCGGTTGACATATTACTTGGGCCCCTGCCCGGTCGCACAGTCGAAGGCTGAGGCCAGGGCAACTAAAATCGTCGTGATCTCCACGATACGCTCCAAAACAATGAGCGGAAACACGATGAACATCACCTTGTCCGCAGAACGAAACTTGTCTGACGTGGTTGGAGCTTCTGCATGCCTGACAGGAACAGAAACGACAACTTAATTGCACGGTTTGTTCCGAGGAACTGGAATCAACAGAGCCAGTGCCACCACCCTTGCGGACCTTGACAATTGACAAGGTCAATCAATGGCTGAAAGCCAAGCTGTGCAACTTTGACACCAAGAGGCACGACAGATGGCACCACGTCCCAGCTGGAGCGGTACAAAGAATCCAGGAAGGACATAAGTGCCCCGTACATCATGTGAGGATGTAGCTCCTGAGCATCTGCACGCTTGAAGCATAGCGGATTCGTCATGACAATGGGCCACAAAGACCAGGCACACGAATTCACAGGGGCAGCAAGCCGGAATGCCCCAATGAACTCCAAAGATGCGGCCAGTGCTCATCGAAATCCATGGAGGGTGATCGACGGAGTGACCTCGAGCTTGTCTTCCTGGCAGTGTCGGTGTCAAGTGCCCTAAGTGCACTCACCCAAAACCCAATCGGCTTACACTCCCTGCCCTTGCTTCCCTCGGGACAGCACTTGTTGGGAGACATAGAGGAAGCCATCGCCGCGTCATGGATGCCTGTTTGTATCATCTGGGTCTGCTGTCTTTGATGCTTGGCTATGGTGTCCCAATTATGCGAGCAAAAGCAGTTGATCAGTTGATCCCAACGAGGAGCAAAGCACAAGCAACAGTTCACCTCTCCAGACAGTGCTGCCCATGTGATGCGGATCAGGCACGTGCCATCCCTGGTCTAGAGCCCCGTGGCGACCAGCACCGGCAGGTGACGCCACGGGCAGCCCATGGCGTCAGGCAGCTGAGCTTCTGACACAGAGTGTGCCACCGCGGATGAAGATTGATGATTTTAGCTTGCGCTCGTCAATCCACGGTATCCGCAGCGTGGATGGGCTATGATGGGCTCAATAGAAGACGGGACTCTTACTGCGAAACCCTGTGAGTAAACACAACAGCACAGTCAAACCCTGCCGGTAAGTGGTGGCAGTAGCAAGGAACAAACCTAGTCTGCCCGTGATGATCTGGTCGGCGAATCAAATCCCGACGACTCGGCAAGTTGATAACGTGCTTCACTTGCCAGCCTTGAGACGCTACGGCCGCGATAAAGATTCGGCAGCAAGCACAATGGATCCGCAATTGGGGTACAGGTACACGTTCTTAGCCACAATCACCCACCCAGCTAGCCCGTTGAGGAGATGTTCACAGTTGCATTGAGTTGTCGAACGGACCTGTGGGTTAGTGTCTGCTCAGCCTGAATGTTTGCAAGCAGCCAATCAGCTTCCACCGCCTTGGGTGACAAGCGATAGCGAACTGCACGGCGGCGAGACGTGCAAAGCCTCACAATAGTCTGAGTCTCTGACTTTGACTAAACAAATGGCAACCGTGTCCCTTCGTGCGTCACTGCAAGAGTAGGCGAGGCGCCCTGGCTGAAAAGTCTCCGCCTCATCAAAGATGGCCCACCAAGGCAGAAGCTCGGGCCTCGGACAAAATAAGTTGAGACCCTTAAGCCTCAAAGCCTCAAGCCCAACTCAAGCCTCCAATAGCCTCCGACGTGCCTTTCTCTGAGTCTCCGTGCTGGCTGCTGACAGCCGCCAAATCCACCTGCTGCCCATGGCAACAATTGCTCACCCTTCCCTGGTAGCCATGCGTGCCGAGATCGCTAGCTGTTCGATTGTGTTGCTGCATGCGCCTATGAGCAGGTTTGCCTTCCTGAAGCGACTGCTCTCATCAGCACCCTTTCAAGCCTGGCCTGGACTCCGATTGCCATCAGCGCTCGGGCAACAGCGGCTCGGCGTCCACGCGGTCTTCGCGTGTAGAGCCGAACGGACTGGGGAGGAGCAGTCACAGCTCTGATGCCCGATTCTGCAGCAGGCGCAAGGTTATCAGCATCTCCCATCATGTTCCCTGTGCCGGAATCGAGCACGCCACAAAGGCTTCTCAAAAGTTTGCTCGAGCACACACCAGGCACCCAGTAACTCCTGTGTGCAATGTCCAAAGTTAAGATCCCAAACCTCACCGTTGCCAAGTTCCACACGATGTCTGCAGCCGTTACCTTGCGTGCTTCGTGCGCCGCACTGAAAAAAGCTGGCAACTGAGAGTTTCGAACTCAGGAGTTCCAAAAACGCTGCAACTCTGAATATGGTCCGACGTCAATAGTTCATGTCGATTCGTCAGCTGCATGCACGGTGCTCTAGCAGGGCTGGAGCAATCGTCAAGGTCTGCACAGTCACCTTGCGAAATGCAACAGAACAATGATGCGTGATTGTCGTGGTCATCACGAAATGTTGGTGGACCTGCACTAGCTATGTGAGGTGACTGTGAGGTGCCTACAACAAACTGATGCAAGCTTCAAGCTACACCTCCATGATCCTCCAGTCATGTCTCTATGACTCCAATACTCTGATGGTGAATAATATAAACCACGAATGTGCGCGGTGTTGGTCAACAAAGTACGGCAATTGCGCCTGGGCCTTTGGAAGCATCGACGAAGTCTGCCAGTGGAATCCTCAAGTCAGTCTCGAAAGTTTAGTTTAGCTTGATCTGTCAGGGAAACTGCAGCTTGATGGTCTCCGGTCCAGGCGTGCCTGCAAACTGATCCGCGGGACCCCTCGAGAAATTGCACCGCCACCACGCACCTCAGCTCGACTGAAGTCCTTACATACAGTGACATACTATACACAGCTACAGAAACTGACGACCATCGTACGCAGCATACCTGAGCGAATTATCCTCACACAGGGCTGGCAAGCCGCGGGGGAAGCTGCTCGGCGCCCTCTCCGAGAATAGACAGCTCTGCACCATCCTCGCAGGCGGTGAGCAGGAACTGGCCCACATACCTCACACACAGACACACCGACACACACACACACACACACGCACGCACGCAAACACACACACACACACACACACACACACACACACACACACACACACACACACACTTGACACATCGTGTCGCAGGTCTGATCTGTCGGTGCATACTGTCAGGGAAAGTCAGCAGCTGTCAGGGAAAGTCAGAGGCTGCACGAGAAAGTCAGAACATGCAATCTGAAATACTACCATAGGACAAACACGAATCACTCATGTAAGACTGACATGTGCAGACCCTCACTCATGACTGTCGCATTCACAGGCAAACTCTTGAACAGGAACTGAGCAAGAAACTGACCAATGCAAGCCCTCACTCAAACACAGCTCGGAAAGGGGTTTGTGGCTTGGCCCCCGTGCCATTTCAATGCAGGCACACAATCTGGCGTCCCAGATTGCTTCACAGCACTTCTATCACCGTCTTCGTTGGGCAGTGGATGATAGAAGGCTCACTGCCCCCCTGCTCATTCGACTCAGATTTACCTACCCTTCGAAACAGGGATGGACACACACAAGCCCTCCCGGGCTCATTGCATCCGTTCGAAACACCGGTTGACATACACATGCTCTTTCGAACTTACTGACAGGGAGCACTCACGTACATAGCACATGCATGACGATGCAATCACTTGCACAGCACTTGCATGACAATGCGCACTCACTTGTCCAGATCGCCACCAGACCACCAGAAACCAAAGCTCCACCACCAGCAGCTCCAATGCTCCTCCGGGCCACCAGAAACCACAGCTCGCTCCACCAGCTTCGCTTCTGTACAAACAAAACGCTGCAAGCAAGCGGTGCAGTAAGGCAGAGAGATGCGCACTCCGAAAGCATGTATGCATGCACTCACTCACCAAGAAAGAGAAACGTTTTCAAGCTTGCACTTGCACGACACTTGCGATGCAGTAAAGCAGCGAGATGCGCACTCCGACCCCTTGCAATGTAGACAGTCTTTGCGCGCTGTTTTTTTTTTCTCACCGATTTTTCATGGGAAAGTCTTATGCTCAAGAGACCTAGGAAAGTGGGCTACGAAACTTCAGGAAGCGCAGTCTGTGCACTAAGTGCAATTCGACTTCGGCTTCTTCCGCATCAGCATCGAAGTACATGCAACACTGAGTTGCAGTTTGGTACGCAGCGTTGGCCAGTGACACGATACTCACTCGCAAATGCTCCTGTACTAGCTCTACCACAGCTCTCATCCACCTTTTTGACGGGCTGCTCAACATGGTGCAAGCCACGGCATTGATTTGGACAAAACGGATGGTGGTATGCAAAGACTGAAAGCCCATGGTCAACTCAACCGAGGAGGACAGCCGAAACTCCTGTATCCCACGTCGCAGGAACGTGTACGCCACCATGGTGTCGGTTATGGGTTGTGCCTCTTCTGGGTCATCATTTTGATCGAGGCGAGTAATGAATGTGATTCTGGCTCTGATCGGCAACACGTACATCAAGATGTTCTCGAGCACGTCAGAAGCGGCCCAATCCATGTTGTTCGGGATCTACACAATTTTCAGAGTGCTTGAAACAAAACTCTGTTGCATGTCTGATGAAAGCAGCTCACAACACCGCAGCACTTGCACGTCTCTGACATGTTACTCTGCACATTTCTTGCACTGCACTTGCACGAACCTCGCACATCCCTTGCATATCACTTGCAATCCGCTTGCACGTCCCTTGCTCGTCACTGCTCTTGACTTGACACAGAGGTGGTCTCTTTTTATACCGTCACAACGAAATCGACTGGTTCAAGGGTTTGAGCAGTCGTTACAGGTTCCGTAAACCGAAGATGGCGAAAGTTTTGTACAAGCTGGAAGGTGTGTAACCTAGGCCACCAGCCGAACTTCTCCCAGAGCTGCATCGCGACAAGGTATTTGGCAACGTTGATGGAATCGTTGATTGATAGCTGGATGTGGAGAGTAATAGTCTCGTGTCCGGTTGCCCGACTGCATACACGAACCCACATCCGAAAAATGTAGTCGCGGCTCGTACTCCAAGGCAGATTGGCTTCACGGGCCTTGCGCTTCATGTTGGGCAACCTACACAGTTTCACTGGATGCCAAATGCTGCAACTCAAGACGGTTCATGCAGAAAGCTGATAATGCACAGCACTGCAAACGCGCACTCTTTAGTTTCTTTCACTTTCTTTGTGCAATCTCTCACTTTCGGTCAAGAACGTACTGCACAAGTTTCAAAGTGGACGAAAAACGCTTCCTAGGGCCTTGCTTTTCTTTGGCAATGCGTTCGCCATGCTGTCTCAAGAAATCGAGAATGAACTGAGCTCTGTTGTGAATGAAGAAATCGTCACCAAGCACTCTCGTGCCTTCCATTCTGCGGCGAAATTGGGTACTGGGTGCAGGACGAATCTTGATGCGCACACCGTCAGGCCCTTCATCAATCATACGAAGTTTGCGTTTCCGCGGTGGGTCCGTCTGCAACATGTTGGTGTGCTCTGCAGCTGACTGCTTCGGCTTTGGGACATGAACTAATCGACCAGAGGACGAAGACGTAGACTGTCGGTCAATGGATGAAGACGCATTAATACTCTCATGATCAAGAGCAAAATCAGCCGAATCCGGATCGCTGGCCAAAGGAACACCTGATGCCACATCTGCACGTCGATCACGTTCTTGGTCCGATACTGCAAGGTCTGACGAGAAGTCGGAAGAGTGCACGTCCGATACAGAGGCAACATCGCTCTCGAAACTGGACACCGACATGATGGAAAGCTACTTATACGGTCTGAATCTGTCTTGCACTGCAGAGACCTTGAGGACATGAGGCAAGACAATGTCTGCAAACGCTCACAACACATGGTGCCGGCAGATCGCTTGTATCACCCTTGCACATCACTTGCACGTCACTTGCACGTCCCTTGCACATCCCTTGCAACACCCTTGCAGTGACACTGGTGCACAGACGCTTGTTTGCAACTGCTCACGTTTCACTCTGAGACTTCAATCTCTGCTGGGAGCGTTGGGGGCAACTCTGTTGTTTCTTGTAGTTGAAGAGAATTAACACAATGGGAAGTCACAGATTGAAGAGAATGCAAATCCGTCAGCAAGTTGCCCACCACTTCGTTGGTCTTCTGAAGTTTCTGAAACAGTTCTGTGATGGCAGACATGACTTCTGCCACCTGAGTCTCCGTGTCCCTGATTTGTGTGGTGAGCACGTCGAGTTGGGCTTGTTGGATCTTTTGGACGGATAAGGCTTCTTCGCGAAAGTGACGGAATTCACCTCTGATTGTGATCAGCTCCTGTTGTGTGTAGGAAATCCAGCGTTGAAGAGGTGCCAACGGGTCGCACGCTGAGTTGCTCGACATTAGTGCAATGGGACGAGACTTGAGCAGGGTGCTGCAACACTTTTCTGGTATGCAATACAACATGAATGAAAAAGTACTCACAGCACTTGCATCCAATGCACATTCTTTCCTCACTTCAGCACTCACATGCGTCACAGATACAAGCGAAATCCTGTCACTTCGGACATACTCAGCTGAGATCAGACGATTGACTGCGTCGAAATCGGCGTGATTCACGCCTTCTGGTAGGCATGGGTTTGGATCTGATCGGAGTACCTGACGTAGCTGAAGATGTAGGTGCAGCCGACGACGAAGCGGTACTGGACACCAAAGGAGGTTCAGACACACGATGCCCCAAGCTTCCGGGCGGGGGGAAATTGGGAGGGGGAAGAGGAGGAGGGAGGGGAGGGGGGGGGAGAGGGGGAGGGCCAGGGGGAGGTAGGGGGGGAGGTGTGGAACTGGAAGATGGGTTGTCGCTCCCTGCACTCGGCGCACTCCTCATTGCTGGCAGAGGGGGTGGAGGTGCATAGGGATGGGATGTGCAATTGCCACTGGACGAACGTGATCCTGAAGCTCCACTACTGCTAGGACGTTCTTCACGTAGGTTTGCTCTATCCCTCTCATCCAAACGACGCAACTCTTGCTGCAGCATTCTTTCTGTCCCGTCACGCACAAAAGCTGTCAATTGAAGTACAAGGGCTTGACGAAGTTGAGGTCGTGATACAAAGTTGAGCAATCTCACACGCGCTGAATGAGTGAGCATTCTCAAGAAACCATCGATGCTAGGATCCGAAGGCGGCACCGTCGGCATGCTTGCTTGCACAGATGATCTCGTCTCTTAGCCAAAAACACTGCGATGCTAACATTTGCAAGTCTCTCACACATGGCAAACTCAGATCAAGACATGTTGCATGCACGTCCGCTGTCAACTGTCAACTGATAACAGACCGCTTTTACCGTTTCATCAAAGCTTCACACAAGCGAAATGGATAACCAAGGTTCGCTAACCACCGTACAAAAGTATGGACAGCTACTTCCGCTTGGCACGTTGGCCAAGTGTACTTACGGATGAGAGAGATTCTCGACTTCGCACCTGACACCAGCAATCGATCGCTACCTGCACTCATGGGATGTCGAACTTGCCAAAGGAACTTGGGCTGGAGATAGTAAATCGTTCGGTTTCGGACATCAATATCAAATCCCAAAAAGTGACCATCACCGACAGCTTCAAGAACAATCGGGGAACCATAAAAGGTTTCTTGGCTGAAGACTTGAAAAGGCACTGTTTTATGCACTTCGGTGGGTGCAATCACCAGTCTATTGTCCACATATCTTGCAAGAAAAGTAGAAGGGAAACTCGAGATCTGCGGGAACGTTGCTGCCCAACCGAGCTCAGTCATCACCACTGGAAGGGAAGAGAGGACTGGGCTGATTTGGTTACCTATGGACGTGCCATCAACTTGCTTCCACACTCGATTCAACGCCACAAACAAGCCGCATTCGAAGCTGAGACGAACAATGGTGACCAAGTCGAATGGATCAATGGTCTTCCAATCGAAGTGCCGACGTATATTGGAAATCTTCCCATGAATGGAACGAAAATGTTGCTCTTCTCATTAATGCACACCGACAATTTGACATCAGGGTGTCTTGCAGTGAACATACGAA